GCGGTCAGCAGCAGAAGGCAGATAGGCTTCCTATACAGAGTTCTTAGACTAAGCAGAGTTTTTTGCTCGACTACGTACAAAGACTACTATCGTCTGTTCAACGACAAGCAATAAATGTCTACTTTTGCCCAAGATTTTCCGTGGAGCCAGAATGAGGCATTCTAGTAAGATTTCAGTTTTCCACATTTGTCAGACTGGACTATGGCAAATTCCGAATGCGTGTGGCGCAGTGGTGTTGGACTGCGACACACACGTGGAATCGACCTCGGCGCCCATGGTCCACCAAGCCTTCCATTCCTCCGGGGTCTGCAAATTGGAAACAGCCTTATCTGGAAGTATAACCGCACTGGTTCGGTATATCAGTAGGCTATCGCGAGTCATCAGATATGAATTCAATCACCTCCAACGGTACTTAATGAAACCGAATGCATGGCGCACCCTCAGGGATTGATCAACGCTGAGAGCTCCATTCTTTTATCCTTTGTGGTAAATTCTGAATGACATTCAGTGACGCAAAACCGAATTCCATTCGAATGAGACTCATCTTATCTTGCTGACTGTTGGCTTGACGCAGTTCGATAAAAGAAAGGTATATGGGGCTTCAGTCGCACAACATAGAGAATTTCGATAAAAGACTCAATGTGTTCTAAGTATTTAACAGAGATTCTTGGACGATGTGAACCCGACATCGACAGTAGTCAAGGAATAAGTGTTGGACTGTATTCAGAAGAAGTATGTTCTAAAATATGTTTTCACTCCATCAGGCTTCTTTTACGACTTTTGGAGCAGAATGTTTAATCGAATAATTAACGATTACTTTTATTTTTCTCTTAATAATTCATGAGCTGGAGTACTAGAAATGCCCATTTTAAGGGTAGTTAAAATACCTTAGTCTTCGTGTGCTGCACTAAAGATTTTGTAGAGAATTTCCAAACTTTTTTGTCCAGAGATAAAAGAACAGAAAATGAGTAAAAAAACTCTGTGCGTGAATGATATGCAACGGAGATAAAACTGACTGGATAAGCATGAGCACTTCGCACACTTCAATCCACCTCTAGCATGAATAGCATAATGAGTAGCAAACTCCATGACCGTTTTTTTCGTACCTTAAACAGAGGAAGTACGGCTGTTTAGAGACGCAAATGGCTGGTGACTGTACTACCATATGGTACTCTAATCAGCTGTCCTTCCCCAGTGGAAGGCACCTGGAAGAAAAATGGTAGATTTTTTGAGAAATTGTTGACCACGTGATTCGCATATAGAACTTCATTTTCTGTATACGTTATTGCAGGGTTTGGCGTAATAAGTTCATAACAATGTACTCGTCCAGGCTCTGAGGAAGGCGGTATTGCCGAAACGTCAGCTACTGTTGTGTTGTGTTGTTTGTGTTTTTTGGACGGAAGTAAAACGTGTGCTGTATAGCAACTTTGCGATCGCTGAAGAAGCAAGCCACCTCCTTCTACTTTTTCCATACGGGTTTACAAGTACTTTTCTGAGAAAGCGGGTTCTTCCATAAATGAGAATACTTTCACCCTCTCTGCAGTAGCCAAGGAGTTCAGAATCTCATGGTTTCATAGAGAAGCATCGAATCTTCTTGGACGAAATGCCGCTTGTTCATTGGCTTTCGAGTTTGAAGTAAGAGGTTTAAGCAATTAAGTGCAAGAAATATGCAGGATGTGTTCAGAAGACCAGAATTTCGTGACAATAAAGTAATAGCTCTTCATGTTGTAGGGAGAGCTTGCAGATTTCAAAAGAAAAGTTCGAAATTACAAAATATTATAGCTAGCACGGAGCTTACTAATAATATTTCGAAACCCCTAAAAAACTTAAAGCTAAGAAAACCTTAAATTTGCATACGGATTGAACCGAATCAATTTTGTAAACATTCCTCTATAACTCGTATGAAATGCTGAAATATTTGCAAAACTCCGGACCACAGGTGTATGCAATGGAGAACGAACACGCTCTGTTGTCCTTACCGGGGAGCAGCGCACTTCACCACTACACCATCCGGGTCCTTCGCTTTGCGTGTAGCTCAGCTAGTTCTATCGATCTTTTCTGCCATCAGCAATCACCCGTCAAAGGGGTTGATCTGGGGAGCCAATATCGGCATTGAACCCAGTTAAGCTGAGATACACGCAAAGCGAAGGACCCGGATGGTGTAGTGGTGAAGTGCGCTGCTCCCCGGTAAGGACAACAGCGCGTGTTCGTTCTCCATTGCATACACCTGTGGTCCGGAGTTTTGCAAATATCTCAGCATTTCATACTAGTTATATTTCGCAACATAACCTGCCATTAAGAAGAAAAGGGCAGTAAATAAAAGAGTTAAGATTCCTCTATAAATTCGCCGTCTTATACAGAAGATATGTCATCGCTATTAGCGGTACTTTTACTTACGTCAGGTAACCTTTTCGTTTTGTGCAAAAAGTCCTATTTCCGGGTTTTTAGTGAGAGACTAGCACGTAGTGAACCGTTGTGCTGGCGAGGTCTGTAAGCGAGTGCTTCGAATACTCATGTGGAATCATTGGGTTCTGCATGGCTCATTAGAGAACAGGAAAATTAGTATGTTCAGAGGCCATTGTCAAATTTGCACCTTCATTTTTCGACCATTTTTGAGCAAAAGGTTATCGAATGATGCACTACGGTAGTTTATATGTTATTACAAAGCTCATTTTGTGCATTTTTGGGTTGGATAATTGAACTATAGTATAAGCAGGGTTTCTCACAAATTTTAAAAGTTAGAATTTCAAATATAATGGCAGAAGTTCCTACAAATTCACTTCTACGAATTCAAACTCGATTGCATCACCTCAAATAGCATCTAATATTAATGAGGTCTGCTTGGAGCGTGCGACATTATTTTGAAAAATTTCGTCGTATCGAATTTTACCCTGAAGACGATGAAGGTTGCGAAGGTCCTCTTCCTACTGATAACAGTGGATTGAAAAGTTCGGTGAAGAGCAATACACTCATAAGTGTTTGAAAACTTGGATTTACCGAGGCGAAAAATGAACCAAAAGAAAGTCGTGTTAACTGCTCGATGGCCTGCAGCTAATTTAAACCATCACAAATTCTTGAATCCGATCGAACCGATCACGAATGAAAGTACGTCTAGTATGTATTTAAAGTTCACCAGAAACCTCAACAACCATGCGAAGAATTGGTCAACAGAAATTCGACAATTTTTCTCCACGCTAACATTCAGCCACATGTTGCAACAACAATGCTAAAAAAGTTGAACAAGCTAGATTACGAAACACTGCCTCACCCTCCGCACTCGCCAAAACACTCACCAATAGAACATCACTAGTTCAAGCACCTCGTCGCCGTACTGCACCAGAAGTGCTTCAGAAACGAATTCGAGGCCGGAACTTTTTCAAAGGTTTCAGTGCCTCTGAAAGTCCACAATCTAGGTAAAACTAATAAGTATCTTCTCGCTGTTAAAGAGGTGTAGATCTCTATTTCGACTAATAGCGTCATTTATAAGCTGGCGTATGCCACTTTAAAGAAGCAGATACAAACCTTGGTTCCATTTCCCAATAATCTAATAAGTTGTGGCATATCGGCCTATCTTTCACATCTGTTGCCGAAGCTTTTTAAACTTTTTACAAATGGCTTCGGCTGCTGATTGAGGAAATTATCATGAATGTTGTTGGTCGGGGTCGATGGGTCGATGGTAGAGTCGATGTTCCTTAGAGCCCTGATAGTCAGGCCGGAGCATTTCCTCTTTTTATTGCAGGAAGCGAACCTTTTCCAGCCACGTCCGATAGCAATTTCTTGCTCCTGGAGGGATCAGAGACTTCGTAAGTCCGAAACCGGATCACACCAGCACCGTGATCATAATAGTCGGTATTATTGCTACAATTGTGCTAACCTCCTGTACTGTGCATGCACTACTTAATGGCGCATTAACCGCAGGATTAATAGGGGAATTTTTCATTCATCAAAAGCATTTGCTTAGATTTTTAAAAACATGGAGTGGAGGAAAATTTCTGAGAATTCCAAAATGGCGTTTACGTAATGGAATTTCTCTTACATGATCCATCATCGAGGACACTGTGATGAGAAAGACTTTCTTGGCCCGTTTGATTTTCTCACATCCATCACCTGGGATCGCTCTTGAATTTGCATGCGGATTCGACTACTGATTGAGGATTTTCAACTATCTTCAAGAATTCCACTGGTGCTACGGCTTTCCCAAGCCCTTACCATTACCAAGCAGTGAGGGTGCTTAGTAAAAATTTATCTCGAATTAGTTTGACGCTAGATTACATAAAACAGACCGAGCCAAATTTTGCAGCAAACAAAGAGATCGTTCGCTATAAATATTGTCTTACTAGAGAAGAGGCTAGATATTAACAGATCATGATGATTGGATTACACTAACAAAAATCGTGGTGATGAAGGTGGAGATTAAAATCGCGAGTTAAATCTGTGATAATGAGTGTTAATATGAGCAACGCTCTCATTGTAAACGATGACAATACTGGATCACTTGGATCTATGTTCGAGACCAATAATGAATCTAGATGCTTATAACGTTCATTACAATAATAGTTAAAAGTGACAATGCTTTAGAAATTAAAACTGACTAGAGAAAGGAGATCGCAGAAATGGCAACACGTTCCGGAACGATGCCCGCTTGTTCCTCTTCTTATATGGATGGGAAAACTTGAATAATTGTCAATACGTATATTCTAGTACACACTCACCTACACACCTACACACCTACTTTGCATATATCTACAGAATTCGAAATTTCTCCAACTGGTAGAACTAGTGCGGTTAGGATTGCAACAACTACAAAAAGCCGGAAGCATTGTTATAATGACGGATGTCGTCTTCCATTTCCTCAGCGTTCGTCATTTGTGGCACATCGAAATCCAACACCCTTGAAGTGCAAAATACATTAGTGTCTGGAATTTCAAAAACAGGTGAAATAGAATAAATCATCATTCCTTTAATTGGGCATATTAAAGTGGATTGAAAATGTATAACACCTAAGGTTGCGAGCAAGTTGGTGAGTAGGCAAGGTTCGTTGTTAACAGTGGTGCATTGTCATGCCTAGCTAAATGTCAATCACCCTGCGTTTCTCTATATAATGTATATTTGGGATAAAATATGTATATTCAAAAAAGGCTCCAGATCTATTATTACGACCAGCCTTCGTATACAGCGCAAATCCAAGTATTCTGTTCATTTCGTTCACTGTCCTACATCCATCACACATGGAGCTCTTCAAATTTTCTTGTTGGCTTAGCTGCTAATACTCGTCTTCTTCATTAACGTCATTCAATATTGAAATAGCTGGAATCCTAGAATAGCTCCGGAGCGCTGAGCTTTCCTAGAGGTGCTCGACAGTCTTCATGACTAATTCATTCTGGAACTACACAGGTAGCATGCGTACCTCTGGTACGTACCTGTCCTTTCAGTGTTCAATTCAATGTTAGCTGAGCTTCTCGATTGAAATTTCGATTTTATTCTTTGCTTGAGAGACCTTATCTGCAAGACCTGGTGTTAACATCGGCGTCCGATATCAAACAATAATTCGATGTCCTTGATGGAACGTAATGAAAAAAAACTGTAAAATCGATTAATAGTAGTTATATTATTCTAAGGACTCGTCTAGCGCTATGCGTGGAAGCATACACAGTGCAAATGGGCTCCTCAATTCCATGCCGGCATTCGGGCTAACCAAACTCTGCATTCTTACGGAGTCGGAAAAATTGTGCGAGACATATGTTGGAGAATAAAAACATTGGATGAATCCCTCGCTGAACCAGTGGAAGTATTTCCATTCGGCAAATACGGATTCAATCACAACTATGAATGGAGTGGAATGCGCACAGTATCCCTAAGGGACAGGATAACTCTGTGCACTGCGCTTTCATCCCTACGCTATCTAAAAACACTTTCTAGGAATAACTGCACAAGAAACTTACCTTTCGGTGTGGTCAAATAACCCATAGTGAACCTCGTATTTGGATAATTTCTCGTTCATCAAAACCATCGGTTTGAACCTGGAAATAAAATTTGCGATAAGAATGGAAAGAGAAGTTGCAAACCTATCGTTAAGTAACCAAAGTGCAGCATAAAGATGTTTACTTTTTTGTTTACTGCCTGCCACAATTTTCACGGCAGAGTATTATGCGAAATCAACCATAACGATGCTGAGATATTCGCAAAAATGCATAATGTCGTGTCGTGAAAATTGTAATAGGCAGTAAATAAAAAGGTAAACATTGTGATTTCGACTGGATCCTGAGTTTAACTGGGTTCAATGCCGATATGTGATCCCCAGATCAATCCCGCTGACGGGTGATTGCTGATGGCACTGGTAGTTAGAAAACTAACCGAGAGAAACGCAGAGCAACGGCCTCCGTGGCGCAGTGTGTAATGTGCGAGGCACCGTAAAGGGAAATCGTGGTTCTATTTGGCTCGGCGCCCAAGTTTTGCGAATGACTCAGCGTTGTTTCGACATTAAATTATAAAAAGGTATCGGTGGGCGACACAAAATTTATCCAGATGCAAATGAAATGGAAGGAATCAGGATAAATCTGCTGGACTGCTTGAAGGATCACGAGCAAAAATTAGGGCAGAAGATTTAGTAAGAAAAAATTATTGGTATCAAATTTGTCATTACTATTAACTTGTAGACCTTTATACTCATTTGGCACTTGATACATGAATGGCCTGTCCTCATTGGTTGTGCGCACTCCAGCACAATCTCCACTCTTCGGAGACCTGCTGGTTAATCAACTGTGGTTCTCTGGAATCCCGAGGTCAGCCCGGCCACGACCACGACAAGTAGTCGCAGCCCTCGCGTATCAGAGGGAAATCTATCACCATGCAACTTTGATATCAAGACGGTGGTGGTTCCTGGTATTGGTTTACTCTTAGTTACGCTTCCTGATGAAAACGTCGGACTGCTTCTCAGCTTGGGAGGCCCTGCCAAAGAATGAATCTGCCGTTGTACCTCGCAGTCCGACCCTTGAACAACTCCCAGCCACGATGAGGGGCAAACCGTTAGGAGGTGTAGACCTTTGTATAACAAAAATGTTTCAAAACCGTGATTCGAAGTGTGACAGACAAGGATATCTCTATAAACGGAAGCAACTAAATAAAAAACGAGTGACCGTGATGCTGCTGCCACGAATATTCTTTTATGAAAAAGTATAGAAAAAGGAAATAACCTAGCTTTATGAGCGAAAGTCGCAATATGTATGTCACATATCCAACAAACACAGTAATGGCTCACTTATGACCCCAGAGTATTTCGTTTGGAAGAAATGATGTTCTAGCCTGGAATGTCATCCCTGTCGCTTCAACGATACCCTCGACGGTCATAATTAATTCAAATTCTGCCGACTAAAAGTACAAAATGATTAACTGAAAAGTCTGCCTTTGCAAAAAAGCATAAATGTGAATTGGAGTAGAGATAGAGAGATTACAAGTAAAGATTCTTTTGTGAGACCGTGTAATGGACTTGATTCGTCTATCACATGTCGGACAATAATCGGCCTTAACAAACCACTAATTAAAAGTGGTAGAAAATGTGAAAATGAACATAAAAACTACTGCACTATGAAAACGAAGAAGAAAAACAGACCACAGTAGAAGAACTCGATCCCACCCACTATCGTATCCTACATTAATATCTTTCACTCCAATTAACTCCCTATCGCCTCTCTGGAATTTTTTGCCTCATTCTTTCTTGCCAAGAAAACTATTATGTTGAAAAACTAAGTAGTGCTTAACTTACACTATTTATTCTGCTGTTTGCCATATAGAGGCGCACGTGAGACTCAGCAAGAAACAGATTTTCTTGAATATCGGCTAAACGAATCATTAACGCAGGTCGCCTGTCGTGTTCATCCAAAGGACCAACAATAGCCATTCTTGAGAAACGTATCTCCTGTTATAAACGAAATAAATTTAGCTGAGCGCTTCTAGACAAGGGATAAAATCATAATATGGCCGCAATTGATCACATTCTGAGAAATGCGCAACATTTTATACTTCATTTATACTCCACTGTAGAGGTAGTCAAATGCATACCTGGCTTATAGAATGACTTTCTGTGCGCTGCTCTTGTTTAAAAGTCAGTGATGCTATGCTTCCAGACAAATCTGCTACATATTTGGGCAACCGAAAAGATGAAAGGCTTGCTAAGCCTGGGATGCGAGATCGAACCAGATATCGATCCAGTGCGCAGTACAAAGCACCTGTGGCCACTGCGTTACTGCTATCCTAGCAATTGTAGTAAAGGATTATCTTTCCTTCCTTGCTTCCAATAAAATGTTCTTTATGGTGGGTTATGAGATTTATTAAGGTAATGAAAAAAGTCTGGGTAGACGTCGCCACTTGGCGAATGGTTGTTCGACAACAGTGTCGAGTTTTCTTCTGTGCTCATGACGACATTGGCTTTCCTAACGTTTCGCTACTGAATGGTTGCTCTTAAAGCTATTATCCTTTGTAATGCATTGTCAGAGAAAGTGTGTTTTTCAGCAGTAAAGTCTTTATGCAAATCAGTTAGTTATCCAAATTTACAACAATGCTGAGATATTTGCAATACTCCGGACCGCAGGTGTCCGCAGTGGGGAACAAACGCACAATTACCCTTTCTGGAAGCTAACGCGTTCACCACCACACCATGCGGCTCCTTCGTTTCGCCTGTCTCTCAATCATTTCTATCGATCAGCTCCATCAGCAATCACCTGCCAACGTGATTGATCTAGGGAGCCCAACTCGGCAACGAACCCAGTTAAGCTGGGGCTGTAGTTGAAATCACAATGTTAAGTTTTTATTTATTGCCTACTACATTTTTACAGTTTACAATGAGAGACAGGCGAAACAAAGGACCTGCATGGCGTGGTGGTGAATGCGCTAGCTCCCAGAAAGGGTAATAGAACGTTCGTTCTTCGCTGCAGAAACCTGCGGTCTGAACTTTTGCAAGTATATCAGCATTACTGCGGTTATTACACCTATTATTATTATTATTATTATTATTTTTATTACTTACTTACTTACTTACTTACTTACTTACTTAAACGGCCTGTCCTCACTGGTTGTGCAAGCCCCAGCATACTCACCATTTTTCGGAAATTTGCTGGTTAAGCCATTGTGGTTTCCTGGAATACCGAGGTCAGTCTGGCCAAAGTCTGCCCCAGGTCTTCACCACCACAGGCAGTCGCAGCCCTTGTGGATCAGAGAGATATTTTCCACCATGTTACTTTGATACTAGGACGGTGGTCGGTCCTGGTACTAGTTTACTCTTAGCTAAGCTTCCTCATGAAAATGCCGGACTCCTCCCCAGCTTGGGAGACCCCGCCGGAGGTACGAATCCCGCCGCTGTACATCGCAGTCCGGCACCCAGGAACGCCTTCCAGCTACGATTAGGCTGTAAGTCGTTGGGAGGTTATTATTATTATTTCTATTATTATTATTCTTATTGCTACTATTACCACTACCATTATTGTTACGACTATTATTATTATTATTATTATTATTATTATTATTATTAATACTATTACCATTATTATTATTATTATTATTTCTTTCTACTTCTGTTCAGCAAGCACGAGGTGCTATTTTATTTCTTTATTTACGCACAAGCTGACGTTTCGGCGGATTTCGCCTTCCTCAGAGCCTGGAAGGGTCAAGTTGACAGCAATCCACTCGGCCAAACACCTCCATAACCAAACAGAGAAAACTCTAAACCAAGATTTCAATCACATTTAGCATAGCTCTGCAAACTCACCGCTTTCTATGAGTCTTCCACTGAGTATATCGCGTGAAGACAGACCGCACAGAATTCACATGGAAGCGTAATGTGCCCCTTCCATCAGAATAACAGGTTTATATACTGTCCAATAACATGCGTGATAACAAGGCATTCCTCTCTGCGGTTCATTTTCGGATTCTTGGAATTTATCCAGAATGCCTCTAGAGTTTTGCGCGCTTGTGTTCTCGATTCTTGCACGAGGATCGTAACCCTTACTTCAAAATCTTCTCCGTATGTTTCTGCGTGCTATGCGTACCTAGTGGAGTACTTAGCTTACGTTTGCCGGCTAGGTGTTCTTTTATACGTACGCAGAGTGGTCTACCCGTTTCGCCAACGTATTCGTCCCCGCACGCTTTACAAGAGATCAGATAGACTGTACCCGAACTCATGCGGTCACCGTCTCTACCATGGGGGCAAATTATGCAATTTTGCGTTGCACATAGACGGTCGTATAGGCGGTTACGAACTAGCTGGCGCCTTAGATTATTCGGTGGTATTTCGATTATCGTTACCGAATTTTCTAGACTGGCCCTTTTTAAACAGCGTTTTATAGCTGCTTCCATGTGAATTCTGTGCGGTCGGTCGTCACGCGATATACTCAGTGGAAGACTCATAGAAAGCGGTGAGTGTGCAGAGCTATGCTAAATGTGATTGAAATCTTGGTTTAGAGTTTTCTCTGTTTGGTTATGGAGGTGTTTAGCCGAGTGGATTGCTGTCAACTTGACCCTTCCATGCTCTGAGGAAGGCGAAATCCGCCGAAACGTCAGCTTGTGCGTAAATAAAGAAATAAAATAGCACCTCGTGCTTGCTGAACATAAGTAGAAAGATATATTCAATCGTTGCCGAGGTTAATAGAAAGTCGGACTTGGGTGTTATTATTATTATTATTAACACCTGAAGACTGACGCTTAAATCCGTGCAGCTAACGTGGGCACTAATATTTCTGCGCAGTGGCTATCAGTGGACACCTATCAACTCACAGCAGTCCAATTAACCTCTCTGCATACTTAAGTGAAACCTTAATTACGTAGGTCTCTAAGCGTTACTATCACTACACATTGAATCTGTCTAGCCTCCCAACGGCTTGCTGCCTCATCGTGGCTCGACGATTCCATCAGGAAGCCCAGCTAATAGTAAACTGATACGAGGATCCAGCACCGTCCTGGTATCAAACTAGTCCCATGGTAGCAAATCTCACTCTGATCCACAAGGGCGGCGACGACCTGTGGCGGTGACGACCTGCGGTAGACTATGGCAAGGAGACTCCAGGGAAACACAATGGCTAAACCAGCAAAACTCTGGGAAATGGAGAATATACTAGCGCCCACACAACCAGTAAAGATAGGGCGTCCAAGTATCGAAGTAAGGAAGAATCTGTCTCAAACGAATTATCTCGAAACTGTTAGTGACAAAGATATATCGTGCATGCAATAATCGTTTAGAAGGTGCGTAGAAAAAGAGAAAGCTTCTAAGCAGTTTACTTGAAATGTATTCCGTAGCTCACATTATGTTTTTAGTTGAGCTGTTTTCTTTCAGGGATGAAAAGTTATGAGAAACAACTTTACTTACTTGCTTTCGCTTTTTTGGTCGGAGCACTTTGGCGAGGACAATACCAGTGAGCATCGTTTGGAGAAACACTCCAACAATTAGCTGTATGGAGAGGATAAAATAAGCAGGCGGACAACTTTCCGTCATGTATCTAAAATCAAAAAAGGCTGCAAAAACACACTATACACAGAACGAAAACGCTACTACAGAACTTACCGAAAACCGTAGCCGATTGTGTGCTGAGATTCCATGCTAAAATACTCATAATAAAAAAAGGAAAGAAAGAGCGAGAAAGAAAGAATAAAAAGCGAATCCGCGAAAAGAGAAAATCTTTCAATTTTCATAAAGTTCCCGTTACCTGAATAAAAATGCTGTGACAAAATTGTTCACGTTTTCAATGCAATGTCGTCCAGACTACAAATAATCGCCAATGACGAATGAATATAAAAATTTTACTAAAAGACAATTCGTACTCATTTTTAGGAAGATCCTTTGTGTTTCAGGAAAGTTAATTGAATAATTTTTGCATGAACTAATGGTTAATCGAGAATCGAAGTATTTGCAGTTTTGAAAAATCTGAATGTATTCCGTAACTGGACCACAGCTCTTCTTCGATAACCATAAGCGATTTATCAGTGGTCGTCTTTCTTTTCTTAGCTTCTTCTCAGTCATGAATTCTCAAAATGCGTATCTGTTACTGACTGGGAAATCTTCGCGTCCATCCATTCATCATCATCATATTTCCATTGTTCTACACAGTTCTATAGAATATTCATGTTCATAGAAAACAATACAAAAATGATAAATATTACGTAAGGGGATTTTGTGGTCTTTAAAACTATCTAGTATTGGGATTGACGAACGACAATTTTGTATGACAGAAATTCATTGATGACAGAGATGAACTAACCGTTTCAAAGCCAACGACAGTAACCACATAGTAAAGCGTGCCAAAAAACGTCCATGATCCAAGAAATCCGGTAATAAACACAACAATTATTGTCCGCCAGTTGCATTCGATGATGAGATGAAACCAGTTTCTTTAAAACACATAGTTTAAAGTGTTCTTCCTAATTTAGTTTTCCATATTTCTTCTGTTCCTCATTCAGTCAGTGTTTATTATTGAAAACCAAAAGAACCACTACTAACAAGTCCACATATGGTGGACGACTGGAAGAATAGCAACTTAAGAGATAATACAGATAATACAATAAGAATTAGATACTTCTGTCACACTAAACGATGTTATCATATTTTACTAAAAAATGAGAAAAAAGTAACAAAAACATGTTCGGTGTTTCAAAGCGCCCTTGATTGGCTGATCGATCGGTTGGCCGGCTAATCATGAAATTCCCGTCCTGGAAGAATCAGAGCCTTGAGGAAATAAACACCGTTTTGACCCATAAAGGCAGACTGCTGCCTATGGTGGAGATCTGAGAACGTTCTAAACTGCTGTATGAGCATTTGGGAAAGCTATGCTCAATTATGAGCCAGTATGTCTACAGGAATGGTGGATTAACGATCCTCAAGTTGAAGCCTAATCAGTACACAATCTCGACCACGTCTACGAATAATGGTTGGAAGATAATGAAACGAGTAGAAGAAGTGCTATGGCCTCTGCAATGTGTCAAGGTGAATTATTCAAGCATTTAAGTAAATGAGTGAATTCAGTGACAACACTAATAACCTTAAGCCTGGAAGAGTGCCACACATGATTCGTTAAACGACGTTAAGTCATACTTCATGGCTAGAGAAGGGCGGTTATAACAGTTTATGACATCTAGGAATAGCGGCTAAGAAGCATCCACACCGTCAAGGACTCGTATCCTTTGGAAAGTATTGGAGAGTATAGCTATCACAATGTGCCACAAGATGTGAAAGACGGAGAAACGCGACTATTAGAGCCTTCTTTTCAGTATCTCCCAGTGCCATAATTATGATGAAAACGAACTAAGTACTACTATTCCCAAAAAAACAAAGATGATATGCGTAAAGCAGCTGAAGCAGTTAAGTGACTTGTTGTTTAAAAAATTAGTGTGGCTAAGGGAGCCAGCAGAAATTTCCGGAAGCAAAACGGCTCAAGCTGAAGAAGCTAAGTTGAAATATTTTAAGATGAGAAAACGTTGGAATAAATTGGAATAATCATATCCTGTGTGGGCAAAGAAACCGATAAAAGAAATCGGAAAAGAAAAGGGTATGTAAAAATATATTAAAAGAAAGTACGTGAGCGAGAATATAAACGGCGGCAAAATATAGTGTGGATGTGATGAGTCAAACAAACCGCAAAACAGGGTGTCCATACCAGCACTCATGACTTGAACCGCAATTTCAGTGACTCAACCATCTTTCTGCATGGGTCACTCACTATATTATAAACAAAGGATGAAGCTCTCGGCGTTGATCGATCCTTGAGGTATGCCCCATGCATTCGACTTTATTAAGCACCGTTTGGAGGTGATTGAATGCATATCTGGCCTACAATGTCTCGCGGTGGCCTATCGATGTATCGAGCCAGTGCTGTTATCCTCTCAGACAACTCTGCTACCAATTTGCCGACCCCGAAGGGATGGAAGGCTTGGTGGGCCATGGGCGCGGGAATCGATTCCACGTGTGTGTTGCAGAGCACCTCTGACCACTGCGTCACACGCGCCCTTTTGATATCCGTGTCTGTCACTCTTTATATTAGCCAATCGTTTTCAGGCGGCTGTCTTATAATATAATATTTATCTCGTATATAATGCTGAGATATTTACAAAACTCCGGACCGCAGGTGTATGCGGTGGGGAACGAACGCGTACTGTTGTACTTACCGGGGAGCAGCGCACTTCACCACCACACCATCCGGATCCTTCGTTTTGCCTGTCTCTCAGCTAGTTCTATTGATCTTTTGCCATCAGCAATCA